AATGTTTCTAGGAAGAAGTTGCTGCAGCTGAGGTCGAAGAGGTTGCTGCCTGTGTTCTCCTTTAGGATTTTGATGGACTCCTGTCTCACATTTAGTTCTTTCAATCATTTGGAGTCTATTTTTGTGTGTGGTGTAAGGAAATGGGACCTGGGCTACTTCCAACTCACCACCTGACCATACCTAGAGTATAACTTCATTCTCATAGTCCAAAATGGCAGCTGGAGCTCCACCCATCACATCTTCTTTCTAAGCAAGGGAGGCAGGGAGTGAAAAAGAAGTGGCAAATGGCTATGTCCCCTGTTATGTTTAGGAGATTTCCCGGAAGTTACATCACAACATTTCATTTACATCGCGAGAATGTAATCATATAGCCATGTCTAGCAACAAAGGAGGATGGAAAAAGCCTTCTTCCAGGAGGCCATGCACTCAGCTGCAAATCAGAAATTCTGCTACTAAGAGAATTTAAGGCAACCAATGTTGGGTACATGAACAGCAATCTCTACCAGAAGTATAATATTTATATGGTGAGTCATATTGATTTGAACCATATGAAATTAACATTTTTAAGTTAAAATAGACAAATATCAGCAATTCATTTGAGTCATTCTATTATATTTCTATGGAAAAATCTAAAAAGATATATAGTACATATGTGAATACTGGTTGTCTCTGGACGGTGAGATCTCAGGTAGCCATGTATTATTTGTGTAATCTTTAAAAATAAGGATCATAATATGTACACAAAAAGGGAGATTAAAAACAGCATGTAAATTAAAATCATATTTTTATAAAATATATGAACACAACTTGTGTGTTTATGAATATATATACATACACAGACACAGAGAAAAGAAAGAGTTTCAGTATATATATCAATCAAAATATTATTTCTGGGGGTGCGTGCCTGGCTCAGTCAGTAGAGTATGCAATTCTTGATCTTAGGGTTGTAAGTTCAAGTTGCACATTGGGGGTAGAGCTTATTTTTTTTTTTTAGATGTTATTTCTGGGTAGGGGATTATAAATGGGTCTTATTTTCTTTCTTATATTTTTCTGTATTTTTTCCAAATTTCTAACAGTGAACTTGCAATACTTGTACAATAAGAAAAGCAAATATAGGAAGAAAAAAAAAAAAAACAAGAAAAGAGGAAATTTTGAAGCCAGAAAAAAAAAACAGTGCAATGATCTACACATACAAGAGAAAGTATGGCTGGGCATAGTAGCAAATGTTCAAAATGGAGCTGATGGAAACATACATAAATTCATTCAACAACAAAAACTGTATTGAGGCCCCTGTGTACCAGACCCTATCCTAGGCTCTGGGGATACAGGGTTAATAAAACAAGCCAGATCTATGCTCTCCTGTAGCTCACAGTCGGGTGGGAAAATAGATAATAACCAAGTAAGTTAAATAAAAAATAAATAAATAAGAAGAATAGCAGGAATTTGTTGCCTAGTTATATGAGGTAGGCACTATTGTAAGCACATTATACATATTGACTGATTTCCTCTGAAAAACAATTTAATGACCTTAACTCAACTTACAGAAAATTGAGACATAAAGCAGTTGCCCAAAGTCACCCAAGTAGCTCGAGGATTTATATGGTGGTGGGATAAGCAGACTCAAGAATCAATTGGTAAGGTCCAGGCTTATACTCAATAAGAATTACCTGAGGCACTTGGGAAATATATGTAAATTACCAGGTCTTGCCCTAGGAAATTCTGCAGTAGATCTAGACGGGGACTTGAGAATTTGGTTGTTCCAAGCCCTCTAGATGTTTCTTCTCTTCAGGCTAATATGAAGAATACTGCTCTCAGCACAAGGAAGTCAGAGTGGGGCTTACCTCTCTGGGCTTGGGGAGCTGGAGTAGCACTGACTGGGAAGGGTCATGAGGCTGGAAACGTTCTGCACCTTGATCCAGGTGGAGCTTACCCAGGTGTGCACATATGTGAACATTTATCAAGCATTCAAAAATAAACATGGCCCTAAGCTGCAGTGCCTCTCTGGATCATGTTAGCTAGGGATAGGTATAATGAAGGTGATGTGGTAGAGTGCCAAGAGGAGTAGGTGCTTTAGATATGGGACAGGAAAAATTGCCCAGGGGAAAGTGACATTCCATTTGGCCTTGGGTGACAAAGAAGCCAGGCCTGCAGAAGACCAGGGAAAAGCAATCCAGGCAGAGGGAGGAGCAGATGCAGAGCCCCTGGCGTGACAGCAAGAAGGCAGGTCATGCCGGCCTGAGCAAAGCAAGAGGAGAGCTGTAGATGGGCAGTGGGACTGGTGGGCAACGGCCAGTTCACATCTAGCTCATTCCTGCCAATCCCTCAGGTTGGAATTGCCACCCCTACCCCCCACCTTCAAATATTGCCTGCTCTCGATTATTACCTACTCAGAGGCCTTCCTTGACCATTCCTGTGGTCCTTATCACGACCTTGTTTTACGTCTTCTGAGACCTTATCACTATTAAGAAATCACACTGCGGGGCACTTGGATGGCTCAGGCTGTTAAGCGTCTGCCTTTGGCTCAGGTCATGATCTCAGGGTCCTGGGATGGATTCCCTCATCGGGCTCCCCGCTCAGCAGGGAGTCTGCTTATCTCTCTTCCTCTGCCCCTCCTCCTGCTTGTGCACACGCTCTCTCTCTCTTTCAAATAAATAAAATCTTAAAAAAAAAAAAAGAAAAAGAAAGAAATCACACTGCTGATTTGACTATTTGATGTCGACTGAATCACTAGCCACTAGCCAAGTTCTATTAGAACAGGCACCAAATCATTTGGATCATCCTTGTACCTCCAGGGACTAGCACAGTGTCTGGTCCATTGCAACACTTATATATAAAAATAATTGGTGGAGGAATGAACAAACCCTTAAAGGAAGCAGCAGGGAAAATTCCATTAGTTATACAGTCATATTTAGTGAGAGCCTACTATTGCCACGTACTAGGCCAAGTCGCTGGGGATAGATAGATCAGTGAAGCAGAGATTTTTTTTTTTTTTTTAAATCCCACTTCCTTGGGAACTTTTGAATTTGTAAGGGGGGACAGGTAAAACACCTGTTGATAGATAGACATACTCCAGATACATAATGTTAAATGTAATAAGTTCTAAGAAGAAAGAAAAGGCAGACCAGAGAGAGACAAGGAGCGGTTGGGTGGGGGAAGAGGGAGCGTCAATATTAAAACGGGCTAGCCAAGACTGGCCTCTCCAAGAATGGGAGTTTGAATCAAGACCCAAAGATAGTAGGGAGCGTGGCAGGTGGATACAGAAGGAACAGCAGCGTAGGAGACTTGAGGCAGGAGAGTGCTTGGCGCTGAAGTCTGAGTAAAGGAGAGAGTTGTAGGAGATGGGGTCGGCCAAGCGGACACAGATCAGAGAGGACAGTGTCAGTCATCAGCTGGGACTTCAACTGCTGGAAACTTGGAAATGTTCGTTCTCGGGCCTCGCCCCAGACTTACTGAGTCAGAAACTCTGGGACGGACCCAGCAGTCTGTGTTCTAGCGAGCCCTCCAGGTGACAGTGCACGATAAAGTGGGCAGAACCCTGGAGCAGGGCGCCTTTGGCGATTGATCCTAGTTGTTACTCTTAGGATCCACGTGATCACTGTCCTCTTTATTTCACAAGCTGGGCAGGAGACCCGCCCAGCGCTCTGCTGATTTGCCCGCCACTGATGCTCAGCTGGGGTTTCTCCCAAGCCCGCGGCGCCCGGCACACCCACCCCCCAACCGCAGCTCGACGCGGTCCCCTCCGCAGAGCATCCCGGCGACCCGGGAGCGACGCCTTGGGGACCAGACGCCCAGGGCGGCAGGTGCAAAGGCGCCCGAGCCGGGGAGGCCAAACGCGTCGGCCACGACCGCAGGGGTGCGGGCGGGACGCCGGCTGCAGCGGCCGGAGGTGGGGGCGCATCCCGAGCCGCCAGCGGTTGCCCAACCCGCCGGGACGTTTGTGCGCGGTCCAGATCCCGGGTGATTCCGCGGTCCCGGGCCGCGTGGCCCGGGCATCGGGATTGGCCCGCTGCTTCCCCGGGGAGCCGCTGATGCAAAGCCAGGCTGGGGCGGCCGGGCCCGGCCAGCGCCCTCTAGGCAGCGGAAGTGGAGCTTGCTTTACATCCGTCCTCCCCGCCTGGCGGAGTTGAAAGAAGGAAGGCTGGGGGGGTGTGGAAAAATAAAAGGAAAAGTCCTTGCACCATGTAGATCAGCGCCCCCCACCCTGGCACCCCGGCCGGCGGGGGACCTCCCAGTCTGTGGCCATGAACGCGAGCAGCGAGGGCGAGAGCTTCCCGGGCTCGGTGCAAAGTAAGTGCTTTTCCGGGCGCAGTGCGCGCTCCGGGGCCCAGTGCGCGCTCCGGGGCCCGGGCCCAAGCACGTCTGCGACGCAGCGAGCAGGCCCGGGGCCCCGAAATCGGGGTGACGGCCCCGAGCCGGCGTCTCGGGTACCGCGGCGGGCGCGCCGTGAAGGGGGCGTCGGAGTGGGCTTAGGATGGGGGCACGCAACCCAATGCAAGGCGGGGCGCGCTCTCCAGCCTCGCAAGACCCCTTGTAAGGGAACGGTGGGGGAGGGCGTGCGGTTCAGACAATCGCCACCCCCTCGGGGCATTCCCCGCCCCCCCCCAGGCGGAGTTTGGGGGGATTTGGGGGTAACTGCGATTACGCTGATGGGAAAACTTCTGCCTCGGTGGCTCAAAATCCTTGAAGTCTGGGGATCCGAGGGTTGCATGAGGTCTGGCGGGCTGGGGTTGCCGGCGCACTGGAAAGCCTTTTACACATTAAAGGTGGAGATCTGAATGGGGCATAGGGCGGTGGTCGCTTTCTTTGAGTTTGGGATTCATTTTAATTTTCCTGATGAGGACAGCAGCCTTATTCAAGTACCTGATTTCACCCGCTGCATTGTTTCCCAAAGTGTGGTCCAGAGACTGAGCGCAAACCAGCCACCTGGGAGCGCGAGCGCTTATTTAAAAAGAGAAAAAAGCTCCTTGGGCCCCACCCATTAGATGGGGGACGTGGGGGAGGGGATCTGTGGCCAGACGCTGAGCGGTTCGGTTACACACAGTTTGAAAACGACCCCGTGGCACAGGGGTTTGCAGACACCTAGCACGTAGTAAGCGCTTAGCTTGTTAGCTGCTGTGGAGACATTGCCTCCCAAACTTGGCTGGGTATTCCTTGCATAACTTGTGAAAAGCACAGATTTCTCAAAACACCAGCCCCTCCTGCACCCTACCTCCGTTAGGACTCAGTATCTCCGAAGTGGGGCTCAGCTATGTCCATGTTTAACACACACACACACACACACCAATTGTTCTGATGCCGTTACAGGTTTGGAGAACATAGTGAAGATAAAGGAATTCTTTCTTGTTGCTGTTGAGCTCGTATCTGTACCCAGTGTTTTCTGTTTGGTCTATTAATTCGCACTACAAATGCAGGAGGTTAGGGATATTTTATCATTCCAAATTTTCAGAGGGGGATACTGTCGCATTCAAATAGGGTTTCTCAGTAATAACCCCACCAGGTGTCCTGCCAGGGCATGGAGACCCCTTGTGCTGGCCCTTTTTACAAGCACCATCTTACTAAATCCTCTTAACCATCCTATGGAACAGAAACTTCTACCCATTTTACAGATGCGAGAGACCAAGCCCAAGTCACTGTTCCTAAATTGTAGTGTCGGGATTCTAAGGAAAGACTAGGTCATTGCGTATGCGCTTGCCACATACGGGAGACACTGTCATTAAAACCCTTTCATGCGGGGTATCATTCTTGTTGGATCGTTAAGGAATCCTCATCAATGCCAGTCACCTCATCTTCCGGTTCCTTGTTTTCCTGTTAGTCTCATGGGCACCTCGGCTGCAGGGAGGTAGTGTTCCAGAGGAATAGAAAAAGCTTCATTCCTTCCATCCACTGATTTCGATGTACTTAAGTGCACAGGGCGCTCTGCAGAACGGCTTATAAAGCATTACAACAGCCCACGCTAGCTCTCCTTAGCAAGTCAACCAAATTGTATTTCCACACAGAGATTTTTTTGTCTTAGCTTGACTTGGGGAAAATTGAACATAATATAAATATTTATAAATTTTCAGAAAGTTATGATTCATATATACCAACCATATATGCACAAAGGTAGTTCTCATATGATTTAGATTTGAGGAAAATTAGAAATAATATAAAGACCTTATGAGTACTGAGATAGTGATGCATAGATAACATAGAATAGTTTATTATTAGATAATTATATATATTTTTAAAGATTGATTTATTTGAGAGAAGGGGAGAGAGAGAGAGTGGGGAGAGGGGCCGAGGGAGAGAATCTCAAGCAGACTCCCCACTGAGCACGGAGCCCGCTGCAGGGCTCCATCCCACCATCCATGACATCATGATCTGAGCCGAAACCAAGAGTCGGGTGCTTAACGTACTGAGTCACGCAGGCACTCTTTAAATAATTATACTTATAAAAATTTTAGTGATCTAGCCACAATGCTTATGCAGTGTTATGTGGGGAAAAGACTAATTTTACAGTACATTATGATCTTAATTTTTAAGCATAAAGAAAATAAATGGAAGAAAATATTTTGTAATGTTCATGGTACACATAGGTGGAAAGATTGTGAGTGATTTTCCTCCTGCTTCTTCTCTTCCAAATTCTGTTATAAACATGAGTTTCCTTATAATAAGACAAAGAAAATTTTAAAAATAAAAATTAAGGTAGTCATATTAGAGACATTAATTGATTGTATTTCTTCATTTAACCAACATTTACATAGCACTTTCTAAAATAGTGCCAGATATTGTGGTAAGTTCTTTGCAAATGTTAACACAGTATTAACTCTTGGCATCGTTACTATTGAAAGACAATGTCCCTATCAGTTAGGAATGAATTTTAGCTACAGGTAACAAACTGAACTATACCAGCCTAATGAGAAGTCATGAATTAGTTGATTCAGGGAATCAAAGAAGTAGAGATCAGCAGATGTAGGGATCTTAGCATTTTCCTCATAATAACAATATAGTTGCAGAAGCTCCTGGCATCACATCTGCGTTCAAAGCCAAAAGAAGAGGGAACCAGTGCCAGTCATGTCTTATCCCTTTTTATCATGAAAGCCAAACTTCCCAAAAGTTCTCATGCATGTAAAGAACCAAGATTATTCAGTAGTTCTCATGGCAGAGTTGGGGGAGGGGGAGTATAAAAGTGGAGGGATTGGTTTTCATAATGACTGGGGAGTAAAACTACCTTTCGTTGGGATAGGACATGGCTACTGGTCCTTCAAAGTGCAAGCAGCCCTGCACATCAAAGAAGTTTCTTTTTTTTTTTTTTAAAGATTTTATTTATTTATTTGTCAGAGAGAGAGAGAGCGCATGCACAAGCAGGGGGAGCGGCAGGCAGAGGGAAAAGCAGGCTCCCCGCTGAGCAAGGAGCCCGATGTGGGACTCGATCCCAGGACCCTGGGATCATGACCTGAGCTGAAGGTAGATGCTTAACGACTAAGCCACCCAGGCGCCCCTCAAAGAACTTTCTTGCATAAAATGCCAGTAGTGCCCCTTCGGGCAGCAATCCCTGGGGTCTGGAAACATTGCTGCTAAGGGAGAAGAGGGGAGTAGAATGGACATCGGTCCAGCCACCAGCCGTCTCTGCCACTATGTCCTTTTTTCTACCATGAATCTGGGTTTGTGCTGTAATTTCAAGCTGTTTGAAATTAATTAATTAACCTGTGGCTTTCCCTTTGTCCCGTGGAGTTCCAGGTGGCACAACGGTGCTGGTTGAGCTCACTCCAGACATCCACATCTGTGGCATCTGCAAGCAGCAGTTTAACAACCTGGATGCCTTTGTGGCTCACAAGCAAAGTGGCTGCCAGCTGACCAGCACATCCGGGGCAGCCCCCAGCACGGTCCAGTTTGTATCTGAAGAAACAGTGCCTGCCACCCAAACTCAGACCACCACCAGAACCATCACCTCCGAGACCCAGACGATCACAGGTACAGCCGGCGGGGGGGGGGGGGGGGTACTGTTAGAGTTGGCCTGGTTATGTCCCAAACACCTCTGTGGAACTTATTAAAAATATCAATTCCCAGGGTCCACCCTGTAGGGTTGCTGATTCATTATTTTTAACAAGCTCCACTGGGAAGCCAGCTGCCCAGCCAGGTTCGAGAACTGCTGGGTGGAAACATTAACTGTTAGCAGTTAGAGATGTTCTCACATGTTAAAACAGACAAAAAGCAGATTTCTAAAACAAAAACCTGTATATACTAAGGGGAAAAAAATACTTGCAGGAAATACATTGCATGAAAAAAAAAAGTAGTTGTTTTGGGTGGTGGGAGTATGGGTATGATCCCAGAATTTGCATTATTTTTATAAAGGGACCAAAAACATGGGGTTGATTTTGTTTTTGTTTTTAATTTACCAATGGGCTTTGATGCCTCCCCACCACCCCGCCCCCCGCTGCCAGCTAGGAAAATAGAAAAGTTCATCCTAATTCTTGGTTGTTTTCACTTACCCCACCAAAAATAAATTGCAGATGGATCCAGAATTTAAATGTGCACAGTGAAACCATAAAAGTTCTAGAGTAAATATACACACACAGACACGTACTCACACTAACATGTACCTATACCTACAGCTCTATGATCTGTCTCAAGGGACTAGACAGACAACTTTAAAAATGTGAAGTCACCCATTTATGAAATAGATAGTGCAGACACTGATGCGTCCTG